ACTGAAGTATCGGTACCTGACCTCGAGTCTCTCTCATCCAGTGGACTTTAAATTTCTCAAGAGCTCACGTTGTATCTACCTTGCTTCTGTGTCCTAAACACCTGGGTGCACGGTAGGCTTCTGATTTTTGTTGAATCAATGTCCTTTTTGAACTTGGATTTAACTCAAGTCACTTCTTTAAGAAACGTTCCCTGGCCCTCCTCCTACTGTCCTCCCCCCAGCCTAGATTAGGTGTTTCTTTTCCGTGTCTTTGTGGTATCCTGTATGTACCTCAACCAAAGCACTCCTCCCCTGTGTTACTCCTCTTTTTCTTTCTTTCTTTCTTTTTCCTTTCCTCTCTCCACTAGATCCCCCTTTCCTGGGTAGGGGGCTTTCTTATATTCTTTTGAAAAGGCATATTAAGCATTACTTTTTTAAAGTTTATTTATTTATTTTGAGAGAGACAGAGACAGTACGTTTTGGGGAGGGGTGGGGGTGGGGGGTCCATCCCAAGCAGGGTCTGAGCTGCCAGCACAGAGTTTGATGTGGGACTCAGACTCATGAAGCCGTGAGATCATGACCCAAGCCAAAAACCTAGAATGGACACTTAACTAACTGAGCCACCGAGGTGTCCCTGGATTAAGCATTATTAAAACAGTTTAAGAAACCTTAAGAAACAAAACATTACTGTTCCAAGCTTAAGCCCTTTATATAAATCTTGCCCCATTAGGTTTATTATTCCCACGGACTTCTTTAGTCTTTCATTGTATACCTATGTCCCTAATCAATATAATGATTTTCCTCTGCGTCCATGTGGATAACAGCTTGTCCCCCCGTGATTTCTGCCTGCTCTGTAGGGCTCGCTGCATCATGTTCATGTATGCGCACTGTGGGTACGCATGCTCTCTGGGTACCTTTAGCCATCTCTGCCCTGATCTCACCTGTCTAGGTGATACGAGTGTCATGAAAGGTCTAATACCTGGTTGTCCAGTCCCCTACTTTGATCTGCCTTAAAATTGCAGAGGTTTTAATCTCTGCAACTGCCATCCCAGGTTTATAACAATGCTTAATGATGTTCGTTGAATAAATAACAAATTCTGTGGTTGTTTTCCTTAGTATGTCGTTTTCAGATTTAGGAGCTTTGCCATTTAATTTCTTTTCCGAAAATTTTATATTTAAAAATTAAGCTTCAGAATCAGATTTTACTGACCAGAAAGACCACTTGGTGTTTTATAAGATAGGAAGGAGTAAAGCCTCTGGCTAAAGGAAAGATGTTTTTTCAGTGGGTTGTCAAGGAAACTTAGTGAGGAGCACTGTTTACTGGTAATGGTGTTTGCTTTGAAGTGTGACTACAAAGTAATGAGGCGTATTTTTCCCAGTGTCAGTATTACACAGCGTCAGACCTCATGCAGCTGTGCTTTGAACGTGCAGAGGAATAACACTTGCAAGATTTACTAATTAATATTCCCCATCGATTGAAATTTAGAAATGAAATTATGCTTTATGTTCCTTTGCTTTAGCTTCGTATTGTCCCCATGAAGGTCTTTCATTTGGACCATAACCTAATTGGATGACCCCAGCCAGCCTTGCAAGCACACGCTTAGGTTTAGAATGGCCGCGAGCGCTTTGCCAACAAGGGCGGGAGAGCTCTAGGAGAAAAAGTACACATCGTTTAGGTAACAAGTCGGTGAACAATTAACCCATGTTCTGCCCTTTCTTGAGTTCTCCTTGCAGATTGGATTGGTAGGATTTAAATGCCAACATCGAGAGAGTCTTGGGAGGACTTGTTAAAAAAACTTTTTAACTTAACAAACATGATTGCGTTTGCGCTTATTTTTATTTTGATAAGGAGTTTTTTTAAATACAAGATTTGCCGCAGTTATCACAACATGGGAGGAGGAGTTTGGTGGCAGGGACTGCCTTTTTTTTTTTTTTTTTTTTTTTTTTTAAAGAGAGCATGAGCAGGGGAGGGACAGGGGGGGATTACTTATTTTAGAGAGAGAGAGAGAGAGAGAGAGAGAGAGAATCCCAAGCAGCCTCCCCACTGTCCCCACAGAGCTGAATACAGGGCTCAAACCCACAGCCGTGAGATCATGACCTCAGCCAAAATCCACAGTCGGACGCTTAACAAATTGAGCTACCCAGGCACCCCTTGCCCTTTTCTTTTATGGAAATAGTGTATTATTTCAGCTTTATAATTTAATATTATATAAAACTCAGGATCATTTCTTGGAAGGCCACTCCCCTGGAGGGAGTACTTTCTCTGAGGGAGAAAGTACTGGCACTGGCACTGGCTTCTAAGCTTAGCTTTTAAAACATTACTGTGATCTTCAAACAGCCTTATTTTATTGAGATGAAGTTCACATAACATGACATTTAAAAGTGAATGAGCCAGTGGCATTTAGCAACCTCTGTATAGTTTCAATCTACTTTGGTCACCCCAGAATAAAATCCTGTACTCACTAAGCAGTTGCTCTCCATTCTTCCCTTTCCCCAGTCCCTGGCAACCACCGGGTTACTTTCTCTCTCTCTGAATTTACCCAGTCTGCATATTTCACATGAGTGGAATCTTTTTTTTTTTTTTTTTGCATGCTTGTTTATTTTTGAGAGAGAGAGAGAGAAGGAAGTGAGGGAGGGGCAGAGAGTGAAGGGGACAGAGTATCTGAAGCAGCCTCTGTGCTGACGGCAGAGAGCCCGATGCGGGGCTCAAACACATGAACCGTGAGATCATGACCTGAGCCAAAGTCAAATGCTTAACTGACTAAGCCACCCAGGTGCCCCTCACACGAGTGGAATCTTACAGTATGTGACCTTTTGAGTGTGGCTTTCACTTCACATGATCTTTTGACAGTTCATCCGCTGTGTAGCATGTGTCAGTACTTCATCCTTTTTTATGGCAGAATAATATTCCTCTGTGTGTGAATTCCACATGCTGTTACCCACTCATTGGCTGATGGGCATTTAAGTTGTTTCCACTTTTTGGCTACTGTGACTAACGCTGCTGTGAACATTTGTGTGCCTGTTTTTAATTCTTTTGGGTACATACCTAGGAGTGGAATTGTTAAGTCATACGGTAATTTTTTATTTAACCTTTAAGGAACCACGGATTTGCACAGTACTGAAACTATTTTACATTCTTACCCAATGTTTGAGGGTTCCGATTTTTCTACATCCTTGCCAGTTCTTGTCATTTTAAACATTATAGCCATTCTTGCGGGTGTGAAGTAGCATCTCATGGTGGTTTTACTTTGTACTTTCCTAGTGACTAATGATGTTGAGCATCTTTTCGTGTGCGTCTTGGCTGTTTGTAGATATTCTTTGGAGAAATGCTGCTGGTCTTTTTGTTCTTGTTGTAAGAGTTTTTATATTTTTATGTATTTATATTTTGGATACCAGACCCTGATCAGATAGATGATTTGCAAATATTCCCTCCCATTCTGTAAGTCATTTTTTCACATTCTTGATAATGTCCTTTGATGCACAGAAGGTTCTAATTTTAATGAAGTCCAATTTTATTGAGCCGAAGTCAGACGCTCAACCGACTGAGCCACTCAGGCGCCCCCCAGTACCTGTAAATTTAAAGACATTTTTTTCTCCACCCATGGACTATATTTTGGTGACTGTGTATGGATTTATGGATTTCCTCCTTAACTCCGGGCCCTCTCTGAGTCAGCACATCACAGATTTTACAGAGGAGCACCAGGGGCTCTGTCATGACATGCAGAAAAGGGATTAAGGATGAAGAGAAAGGTGGCATTTCCAAGGGCCCAGATAGTTGCAGACACATCAAGGGAGAAAGGGGAGAAGCCTAGAAGGTAGGTCGCCGGAAGTCAGTGGTGGAATCTGTCCGGGCTACAGAGGATGCCGCTTTTCCTTTCAGGCAACAAGACTGACTGCAGAGTGGAAGTGAAGTTCATGGGGGAAGTATGTTGGGACTAGGGCTGGAAGCTCAAAAGACAGCATCAGAAAGTGATGATTTGGGGAGCAGTAGAGGATTCCTTTCCTTTTAGAAGTAACGCCAACCCACTTCTACTTCCAAAGGAGGAGTCCAGCTGACTGTTAAGCTCCTGTCCTAGAGAAGGGGAAGGAAAAGGAACAGGGGAAATCCTAGATTTTATTTCAGCCATGATTCGAATGTGGTTAATTTTGAATTAATAATACTGTAGTCTCTATCCGCATTTTGTGTGTGTGTTTGGTTTGTTTTCTCATTTCTTAAAATTTTGTAGTAAAAAGTATTCCAGTTTTCTCCCAGCTGAAAGCGTGATGAGGTTTTTCAACCTGACATGTAGCTGAGGGAGTTGGGGTCTCCGGACACACTTAGGGCTTGGAGTGGTGATGGGCCAGGAGCTGGGACACAAAAGAGTGAGGACCGGGAGGGAAAGTGTTGGGACTGTGGTGCCAAGCGGGGCCGAGGTCGTCTTCGCTTCTGGCCAGCCCTTCACAGCGTTCACAGGCTCATCCGTGACTTTCCACCACCCCCCGTCCTCATCAGCTCCGTGTTCAAAGGGCATTAGAGCGGCGCCTGGGTGGCTTAGTCGGTTGAGCGTCCAATTTCGGCTCAGGTCATGATCTCACGGTTCGTGGGCTCGAGCCCCGCGTCGGGCTCTGTGCTGACAGCTCAGAGCCTGGAGCCTGCTTTGGATTCTGTGTCTCCATCTCTCTCCTACCTTCCACTGCTCACGCTGTGTGTGTGTCTCTCTCTCTCTCCCTCTCTCTCTCTCTCTCAGAAATAAATAAAACATTAAAAAAAAGAGGGGGGGGCATTAGAGAAAGGAGCAAAGAAGGGGATAGATAGGACCGGTGACTGAGAGCCTGGGGGGCAGTTGGAGGTATGGCCACTGGTTCAGGTGCCCTTCTGCTTTTACAAGGCAGATGGTCTACTTTTTCCAATAGAAATGAAAGCTCCCTTACAAGAAGTGACAAAAGGTAGATCTTAGACTTCTGTGGTGGTTAAGAGTCTGAGTTTGTATAAATGTGTCTTTTTTGTTTTTAACTGCCCGTGTGACTTCTGTGACTTTCAGGTGCTACTTGTGAGCAGTAGTCGCCATCCAGACCGATGGATTGTCCCTGGGGGAGGCATGGAGCCCGAGGAGGAGCCGAGCGTGGCGGCAGCCCGTGAAGTCTGTGAGGAGGTGAGCATTGAGAAGAAAGGGCACAGCGGTACCTTGTCATCCTGCATCTGTCATGTCTGTGTCGTCCTTTCCTCCGTCACCATTCACTGACTAAACCTCCTCTGGATCCCAGAAAGAAGACATTTGACAGCTACCATGTGCTTCCTTGATGTTAGCTGTGCCATGGTCATGTTTAGCAGGCACTCTGTGCAGGGAGAGGGCTCATAGTAGTGACTGTCTGTAATTATTCCAGACAGTCGTTTGTGATTTCCCATGGAGCTCTTTCAACATCGCCTCTGTCACCTGTGGCAGAAGATCAAGAACAAATAGCTCATCAGCCCTAAGAAATCAGAGGAACAGGCAGTATTGCTATAAATGGCTCATTCTCATTAACCTTCAGATGAGGAGGCGGTGGCCCTCGTTCTCCTGTGCTTCCTGGGTCCTGGCCTTAGAAAGGTGGCTAAGGCAGCAGTTCTGTTAGCCAGAAGCTGTTATTAATAGTACCATTAGAGAGATAATAGCATCTTCTTGGTTATTTAGTCACATGATGTTCGGCATATATGTAGTGAATTCCTGGGCCACACCCAGTATATCTTACTGGATACTCTAGAATAAGTAGTGGGAAGAAGTAAAGTCTTGGACCTTTAGTTCCCTTACTTTGAGGAAATTAAGAAAGAGGATTGCAGTTCGAAGCCAGGAGGAAGGAACTAGCTAACGTTCCTCTATGGCAGCTTGTGGGGACACCACGCTGTGCTCTGCTCATGTGATTTCATGTGTCCCTCTCATTTTATCATATACCTGGTGTCCGTAACTACACTATAATCTCTGGGAGCAAAGAGTATGTTTTGTAGTTGAAATCCTCCCTTCCTGTGCCTAGTACCAGGTAGATGAATGGGAAGTAATTATGAATACGTGCATCTGTGACACATGGAGTAATGGATGGATCAGGGAAAGTCTTGAAGAGGTACCCGTGATGGAGACTTTCTGAGCGTAGGGAGTATTAGACATCGTCAGAGAGGATGAGGGGAGGGCATGCTCACAGTAGTTAAGAATCGGTGTCCCCCTTTCTTGTCAGTCTTGAGATAATGGGGAGTGCACTGGGACAGAGCGGCCTGGAGGGGCAGATGTGATTCTGTACTCTGCCCTCCTATGGCCGCAGGGCAGCATATCTGTGCCTGGTCCTTTCTAGAAGATCTCAGAGGCTTGGCCATTCAGGTAAGTGTGGCAGGACCAGTTGGTGGACCTAAGCTGCACGCTTTTAGTTCAGATCAACTGGCTCCTGTAGGTTCCAAGATACGTAAAGCAAAGTGACGTTTGAAAGAGCCTACGTGGCAGTTGCGGATTAAGAAAGGTATTTGGAAGACCTGAAATAAAGAGAGGGTTCTAGAATAGAAAGAAAGGAAAAAGTTCAGTGACTTTCTGCCAAACTTGCTACTTGGTTTTAGGAGTCGTGGGGGGAAATCGAACAGCCGTACCTTTGTGGAGATATTTGGATTTGGCGTCTGTCTCCAGAGAGCTTGTATTAGTTGCTGTTAACTGTTGTCGTTTGATTTTGAGAGTTACAGTTGAGTCATCCCTGATTATACATGTACAGCGAAGATGGAGAGAACAGATGACTGCAGGAGAGACGCAGTGAGGGGCAGGAGGTGGGGTAGGGCATCCCCCTCACCTTTGTTTCCTGGAAAATGCCATCCCTCGCACCTGAGTTGGTGAGAGGGAGGCTGCGGCGGAGGAAGAGGCAGACTGCTTGTGATTCGAGAAGGTGGCGCAGCACTGAGGCGCAGCACTGACATTGAGTCGTGCCCTCGTCTGTTCAGGAACCCCCCCTGCCCACCTGTCCGGACGGGCCCCTGAGCTTGAAATTAAACCCTGCTTGACTCTGAGCAGACTTCCCCCTCCAGTCAGAGGGGACTCCTGCCCCACCATGTGCTTTATTTCAGCATTACTGAGAGAGAATGTCTGTGAGCTGCCTGCAACTTTCAAATATGACACCAAATAAATCACATTTGCACAAATATTAAACATTAGTGAAACCAACATTTCAGTGGCTTCTATCAAAATAAAATAGAGGGTATGGCTTTTCCAGTCCTACATTCATCAACCTAGTACAAGACTTGGGGTCAGAGAGGAGGTAGATAGATTTTTTTTTTTAATTGCCCTTGAAAGGTAGCTTTTGTAAGCAGAAATCACTATTCAGGGAGTTTATTTAGGTTTCAAAATGTTATGACTTTTGTAAAAATACACATTCAAAAACTTTGTGTTTTTTTTTTTACCATAATGCTTACAGCTCTGACTGTTCTCTGTATAAACATGGGAGATTTTACTAGTTCCTTTTAGATAATATTTAGGCCAGTTAATCAAGGATCTTCAGATGTTTCAAATTGGATTTATACAGTTAAATATATTTTATTGCTTTCTAAACAACTTCAGTTATTTGACTTAAAAAAATAAAACTCTGATGAAGCTCTTCAACTGAAGTCCTGTGAATCTCCTATATTAAACTTACAAATGAAGTGAGTTTTAAATTCTTTAAATATTCCCATAATATATGTAAACCTATTAAGATTTTCAACTTAAAAACACAAGTCAGAAAGAAAGTATTCAATTATACTTTCAAAACTGTGGTTACAATCTAACAGGCCAAGTTCTTTTTTTTTTTTTTTTTTTTTTTTTAAAGTAATCTCTATGCCCAACACGGGGCACAGAGAGAAAACGACACAAACAAGAGTTGCATGCTTTGTGGCTGAGCCAGCCAGGCGCCTTAGGCTAAATACACTGGTGTAGATTGAGTCCAACACTTTTTTAAAGCAAGGTACAATAGAAACACTAATAATAGCACAGGCATGCCAGAAAGACAACCAAACATGTTATTTTTTTTTTTTTTTTTTTTTTTTTAAAGTAATCTCTATGCCCAACACGGGGCTCAAACTCATGACTGCAGGATCAAGAGTTGCATGCTTTGTGGCTGAGCCAGCCAGGCGCCTTAGGCCAAATTCTTTTACACATTACAAAATCATAAAATATGTCTAGTCTCCTTTTTTAAAAAAATTATTTATTTATTTTGACAGAGAGACAATCCCAAGCAGGCTCTGCCCTCTAATCGTGGAGTCCAATGCAGGCTTGATCTCATGAACCAGATCATCTCCTGAACTGAAATCAAGAACCCCTGGTCATCTTCTTAACATAGAAATATATTACGGTTTTGATTCTCTGAAATATTTCTTCCTTTTTATTTTAATCAAAAAAATTTTTTATGTTTATTTTTGAGAGAGAGAGAAAGAGACACAGCACAAGCAGGGGAGGGGCAGAGAGAGAGACACAGAACCTGAAGCAGGCTCCAGGGTCTGAGCTGTCAGCACAGAGCCTGATGCGGGACTCAGACCCACAAACTGGGAGATCATGACTTGAACCAAAGTCAGAGGATTAATTGACAGAGCCACCTAGGTGCCCCACTCTTAAACCTTTCTATATTTCATTCTAAATATTTCCAGCACTGCACCAGGGCAGGGTGGCTCAGTTGGTTAAATGTCCAGCTATTGATTTCTGCTCAGGTCATGATCTCAATCCATGAGATCAAGCCCTCCTATGGAGCCTGCTTGGGATTCTCTCTCTCTGCCCCTCCCCTGCTTGTGCTCACTTGCTCTCTCTCAAAAATAAATAAACATTAAGAAAAAGAAAAGGATAAGTAAAACATGTAAAAAGCCGGGGGGGTGGGGGACCTGGGTGGTTCAGTTGGTTAAGCATCTGACTTCGGCTCAGGTCATGATCTCACAGTTTGTGGGTTCGAGCCCCATGTAAGGCTCTATGCTGACAGCTAGCTCAGAGCCTGGAGGCTGCTTCGGATTCTGTGTCTCCTCTCTCTGACCTTCCTCTGCTCACGCTGTCTCTCTCTCTTTCTCAAAAATAAAACATTAAAACAGAATTAAAAAAGAAAAAGAGAGATGCATACCCACCAGAGAAACCAGACCCTTCCTGTTAGTGAGGCCACGACTCTTTGGTGGCCTAGTAAGAAATGCTGATCCAGTCCACTGTTCTGTCAAGACTATAACTTTGGGGCGCCTGGCTTGCTCAGTTGGTTAAGCATCTGACTCTTTGTTTTGGCTTAGGCATGATCTCGCAGTTCATGGGTTCCAGCCCCATGCTGGGCTCTGTGCCAGTGGTGTGGAGGAGTCTGTTTGAGATTCTCTCTCTTTCCCTCTCTCTCTGCCCCTCCCCTGCTCATGCATTCTGTCTCTCTCTCACTCGCTCGCTCACTCACTCACAAAATAAATAAATAAACTTTTTAAAAAATTTTGTAACTTCAAAAGCCTGGTGTGGTAGAGTCCACATCGGTTGGGAATGGGGTATTGAGTGAGCCCTTTGCAGTATCTGGCACGCGTGGCTAACTGTGTCCTTCAGCCTGAAGACTACTTCCCCAATCGAGTGTTTGTGATTCTTCCCTACAGACTCAGTCTCTTTCCTGTGTGTTTCCACTGCAGTCCGTACTTCCTAGCATTGTGTTTATCAGCTTTCTCGCTTCTGCCTGCTTAATGTGTCCTGTGCTGGGCTTTACATTCCGTGTAGTCATGTGCTGTTGTGGTTTACTCACCATTCAATCCACAGTGCTTCTTAACACACAGTGAGTGCTTCACAACGTAAATGTTTCAGTTATTGACATGGCTACTAGAGTCGCCACATAAATACAAGATAGGCCCTTTTTGGGTTGCCAGAGGTAAACATGCCTGCGGGTGTCTCAGAACTGTGCCTAACAGGCCTTGCAGAACTGAAAACTTGGGTCACAGTGCACAGGCAGGTGTCGCTCAGGGTGGGTGGAATGACAGTGGGAATGCGGGATAGCTCAAGGAGCCCGGTCACTGCCCTGTGGCCTGGCCCCCGTCTTCTGCGGGGCTGATGCCTCTCTAATCCCTTCTCAGCGGCCTGGCTCCTGCTTACCACCTTCTGTGTTGTCCCTCCTGTGTGCGTCACTTACCCGTCTTACCTGTAGCTCACGTTCAGCCTTCCCAGCGGAGGGGACCTGTGGGCACAGCTACCAGGTGACCTCTTCAGCTTCTGGCCGTTTTGAAGGTGTTAGCCTCAACGTGGCATCAGTTGCCGATTTGTTATCTGTCGCTGTGCCCCGGGCGTCCAGATCATGTGCTGTAAAACATGGCGGCCTGTGCTTCAGGCCACCTGCGGCAGCTTTTCCAGGAGGACCCTGTGTACGTAAGAGAGAAGTATTTACCATCACAGGAAGGTGTCTGTAACACACATTCCTAAGTGGTCAGCACAGACTCTAAAACAGTATTTGCTATGTAAAACCGTTCAGTGGAAGAGAAATGTGTGTGTCTATTTGTGTAGAGAAAATGAGCAACGCTGCTCGCACATTCACTGTGTTGCCTCATTTAATCCTCTCCAGACTCTCTGAGACAGGAGCCGTTACTGTCTTCGCTTTACAGGTGAGGAAAAACAGTTTCGGTGAGATTAAGTCCAAACAAATTGTGCCCAGCTAAGTGTGTTCAGGGTAAGACTTGAATCCAGAGCGTCTGGTCTTCGCACCCACGCTCCTCTGATACCATGCTCCTTGAGACTGCCTACCAGAATTTCACAGCAGTTGTCTGGGTTAGCTCATGAGTTATCAAGTTTTTCCACAGAACGTATATTTATTTTATTACCAGGAGAATTTCCTAGATAAACATGAATGGAGTGAAATTATTAAGTCTGTCATGGCGTCATCAGGCCAAGGTACCAGTAACCTCAACCTCTTCGGAAGCTTTGTTTAACCCAGTTTAAAGATTTCAGCACGTTGGCTGAATTTCAGAAACCGATAAATCTGTAGCACTTGAGACCTTAGCAGTCACATTTAGAGGGCTAAACTATTCCCTTTTGGAAACTGGCCTCCGTTTTTTAGCTGCATATAGTCAGAATCCTATTACAGTGACCTGTCCGAGGGCGAGCAGGCTGAGGCTTTCTCCCAGGGCTAGAAGGGGGCCCAGGCAACAGGACGTGTCTAGCCCAGGGCCACAGAGGCTCGTGGGAGCCGGCCACGTGACACCCTCTGTAATAAAAAAGAAAAGCACCTCTTTGTGTAGTTTTCAGAGCTATTGAATTAGCTATTGCTAATTCAAAAGGAAAGGTAAACCTTTTGGCCGACAGGAAAGACGGAGAGAAACTGGATCTGAAACCGTGCTGTCTTCTGTTCGTCTGTTACATTCCCCATTCTCACCTCAGGTGCGCCAAGAGCCTTATCACAGAGGCAAAGAACATCAGAAAACAGAATCGGGAGAAAAGTATGTGTACGTGCACACTTGCAGCTGCGTCCTTTTCCAGGATGACAAAGATGGGTGCCTTCTGCCTTTAGGGAAGCGTAGTCAGTGGTGACACTTGGAAATACGTGGCCAGATGCCAGGCCCTTTTATCTGCGGCTTCGCATCTGGACATGGCCTGTATCCTCTATAGCTTTAAAAAAAAATGTAGCTTGTTCCCTCACTTCCCCACTTGAGGCCTAATAGCACACTTTCCTGCCACTCCTCCGGCTCTTCCCACCTGCTGCCTTGCCACATGGACCCACCATCTTGGAAATTCCTTTAGATTAGTTCATGATGTTGTCTTCTACTTCCCTGCATCTCTTGCCGTCCTTTCGCAAGGTTTTTTTTTGTTTTTGTTTTTGCTTTTTTTTATTTCTAGGAGAGAGAGACAGCGTGAGCAGGGGAGGGTCAGAGAGAGAGGGAGTCACAGACTCTGAAACAGGCTCCAGGCTCCGAGCTGGCAGTCAGCACAGAGCCCGACGCGGGGCTTGAACCCACGAACCGCGAGATCATGACCTAAGCGAAAGTCGGACGCTTAACCGACTAAGCCACCCAGGCGCCCCACCTTTCACAAGTTTTTAATACACTGTACAGAAAGTAAAAATTTCACCACGTGTTTGGCTTAATTCACCTTCATCGAGGAGAGCTTTTTTGAGCAGCTGGGTGCCATTACGTAGTGTCAAGGATCATGGTGCCTCAGGAGTGCCCAGGTGCTTTGTAGGTACCTCTAGCCTTGGTGAGCTTGCACCGTCCCGTCCAGATCTCTTGTATCCTTTCTTGACCTCTTTTGTATTTTCAGATAAGAGCATGGGAAATGCTGTGTGAACTTTATTTCAAAAATCTATATTGGGGTGACTGGGTGGCTCAGTAGGTTGAGCGTCTGACTTAGGCTCAGGTTATGATCTCACAGTTTGTGAGTTTGAGCCCTGTATCGGGCTCTGTGCTGTTAGTGCAGAGCCTGCTTCAGATCCTCCATCTCCCTCTCTCTCTGCCCCTCTTCACTCACGCTCTCTCTCTCTCTCTCTCTCAAAAATCAAGAAAACATTTAAGAAAAAAAAAAAAAGAAAGAAAAAATCTGTATCATCTCGGGGTGCCTGAGTAATTCAGTCGGTTAAGCATTTGACTCTTGATTTTGGCTCAGGTCATGATCTCACCGATGTGAGACTGAGCCTCCCATAGGGCTCCGTGCTGAGTGTGGAGCCTGCTTAAGATTCTCTCTTTCTTGGGGCACCTAGGTGGTTCATTTGAGTGTCCGACTCTTGGTTTCCGCTCAGGTCATGATCTCACGACTTGGGAGTTCAAGCCCTGTCTCTGGCTCTGTGCTGACAGCGAGAAGCCTGCTTGGGATCCTTTGTCTCCCTCTCTCTGCCCTCCCCTGCTCTCTCTCTCTCTCTCAAAATAACTAAACACTTAAAAAAAGATTCTCTCTCTTCGTCTACCCTTCTCCCCTGCCCACATGCTCTCTCTCTCTCTCTAAAATGGGGAAAAATCTATATCCTCTTACGCACTTCTTGTACTGTGTGTTCCCTGTGCCTGCAGACTATGGCGGCACTCTCTAATATGTGTGTCATAGCAGCCGGGGAGCTCCATGTGGGATCTCAGAACCGTCTCTAGCAGGGAAGGCATAATTTCATGTCTCTTGTTAACGTTTTGGAAACAATTTTTAAAAAGCCTATAACTACTTGGGAATAGTTTAAGATACTATTTTGTCAAGCTTTTTTTTTTTTCTAAAGGTCGTAAGTGTTGGACTCTGGAGTGGAGAAAAACGTGAAGGCTCTGTGTGACTGTGTTGAATTTTCACCTTTATTTTTTGGCCCCATCCTGAACAGTTGTGAATGAAAGGTGGGGATAGGGTATCTCAGAATTTATTAGAGAAATAGCATGGTTCTCTTTAAATCCCAAACTTTAATCACAATATATATAACATCATACCATAAGAATATTTTTAATCAGTTTAACATGATAGGTAAAAGGTGGGGAAGTAATATTATAAACCAGGGCCCCTAAGGGGTCAACATGGAGGGTAGACAACGTAGACAAACAATTGACGGTGGATGTAGCTCTAACAAGGTGGGGAGAGCCCGCCCTGGTCAGGAGGGCGTGCCTGCCAGGCCTAGCCATTAGCTGCCATGTGGCAGTCGAGACCCAGTGTGGTTCTGACGTTTCAAGAAAAGCTTGAAAGCTAGATTCTCATGGGAGAGCCCCTGGTCTTTCAATATAGGAAACTAATTTTTAAAAATTGTTTCCAAAATGTTAATCAGGTGCTCACTTCAGCAGCACAAATAGCAAAATGTTAATCAAAATAATACATGCCTATGCCTATGGATTAAGACAACAGCCATAGTAATACTAAAAGGCCCATAATTGAGGCGCCTGGGTGGCTCAGTTGATTAAGCGTCCAACTTCGGCTCAGGTCATGATCTCACGGTTCGGGGGTTTGAGCCCCATGTCGGGTCTGTGCTGATAGTTCGGAGCCTGGAGCCTGTTTCAGATAATGTCTCCCTCTCTCTCTACTCCTCTCCTGCTCATGCTCATGCTCTGTCTCTGTCTCTCAAAAAGAAGCAAACATTAAAAAAAAATTTTTTTTAAGGTCCATAATTGAAAATCAACCAAAAGATGTGTTCCTAGTGAGGTGAGCAAGCTGTATTTCAGATTTTTACATTACTTTCAAATGTGAAGTGACAGGCTCCATCCTCTCAGAAAAAGACTTTCAATTTTTAGTCTCCTAAGTGGTAGATGAAAGCAAATAAAGGCCTTTAACCTTAGCAGTATTTTTCACTGTTTAATAGAAACATTAATATGAGAACATACGTACAGCTGTAAATTACTGTAAATCAAGAGAGACCATAAATCAACCTAATTTCTTTGTTGAAAAGCAGGTTTTATTTAGATACCGTGACCCGATTTCCATGATTTAATGTTTAAGGAATTTAAAATTACATGAATATGAGTTATTAATAGCAAGGTACATGTATGGCTACATGCACCTACAGATTTACCTTAAAAATAGGTACAAAAATAGGCAAAGAATTTTTCTATATATTTGAACTGTTTCAAAATAAAAAGTTGGGCAGCAGATAGACAAAGTGCTTATTATATGCCAGCTATATCCAGATCTCAGGGAGGAGACTATGAAGTTCAACAGTATGATGGATCCCACTTTCTTTAAGACAGATTGTGTTTTTGTAAGTACTACCAAGTTTTTATTTTTACTTGGAAAGGATATTTTTAGCTCCTTTGGTCACAGCCTTATAAAATGGAAGAATCATCGTGTCTCTTGAAACATCTTATTTTGGTAGTTAATTCCTTTTATTTATGTATTTATTTAAAAAAGTTTTTTAATGTTTTATTTATTTCTGAGAGAGAGAGCATGAACAGGGGCGGGTCAGAGAGAGAGGGAGATACAGAATCCGAAACAGGCTCCAGGCCCTGAGCTGGCTCTCAGCACAGAGCCTGACACGGGGCTCGAACCCACGAACCGTGAGATCGTGACCTGAGCCGAAGTCGGGTGCTTAACCAACTGAGCCACCAGGCACCCCGGCAGTTAATTCCTTTTAAGGAATTTAATAGGAAATGTGGTTCGGTGATTTAAAAAAAAACAATTTCAGGAAAGCCTTTGTTTACCTAACGGGGACACACATTTTCATGTGTGGAAGCATCTTTACTCTGACCTCCTAAGAAAGCATGTAAACAAAAGTACAGCAAAGGAAGAGCTTTTCCTTAGAGCAGCTAATTTTGAACGTAGAAAACGAACAGAGAAAGCCCTGCCTTGGCACGCAGGCCTGCGTGAGGCCAGTTCATGTGAGAGGACAGAGTGAATCCCGCGGGTCGCTGGCAGAGGCCCATAGGTAAATCCGCATCCAATCTCCTGTTTTTGGCAGCCGAGAACTTGGAAAGGGCCCTTCCTCTC